TGTAGAATGTTTTTTTTTTCAGGATAGCAAAAAATCCAGAATTGATTTTTTTTCAATGTGTTCAAGATGGTTGTCATATTAAATATAATGATCTAAGTAAAGTCCTAAGAATTTGGTTGATTCCGAGTAATGAATTTTCGCTAGAGAAGAACTTGGACTGTTTTGCTGCACTTGAATTGAATATATAAAGTTTTTTCAATGTTTAGTATTGAATTATCAGCATTACACCACTTTCCGAAAGAATCCATGACCTCACTTGTAGTATTCTCCAATTCCTCCAGGGTCCGTGCAGAGACCACCACCGATGAATCGTCTGCAAACATTGTGACTTGTCCATTTGTGACATGGTCGGGCATATCATTGACGAATATCAGGAGGAGAAGTGGTTCCAACACTGACCCCTGCGGGACCCCGATATCCATGGAGTAGGTTTCAGAACATTCATTTTCCATCTGTACATAGTCCATTCTCTCAGTGAGGTATGATTTTATTACCCCAAAATTTTTTCCTCTAATTCCATTTCTTCCGAGTTCATTCAAAATTAAGTTCATTTGTAGACTGTCAAATGCACACGGAAGATCAAAGAAAATGCCAGCAACAAAATTGCCTGCATGGGACGGGAATATGCCTGTGTCGAATGTCAGATTCATTAGGTATGACAGGGGTTCGGCAATAGTTTCATTCATAGTTTTTAGTATCTTCATACTTATTTGGTCAATACCTACGCTTTTTTTGTTTTTTAGCTTGGAAATGATTGAGAGCACTTCTTGAGCATTAACATAATGAAAATAAAAACTTTGACTGATACTTTTTGTAGGTATAGTATACATTCCGTTGATTCACTCTGACGGAATTTTTTATCTATTTTTTCCTTTCGTTATATTGCATAAATGAGAAGCAAAAGTCACTGCTATACTTCTTTCGCTTGGTCATCATTCGCGTCATTTATTTTCAGACTAATATCGGTTTTGTTTTTAATCCTACCTATTTCACTATCAACGATGTTCCATACGGTTTTTTGTTCATTTTCGCGTTTTCTATGATATTTGAATAGAACTTTTGTTTTTCCCTACTCACTAAATTGTTATAATTCTTCTTCTGTTTTTTATCAAATTCCCATTGGTTGGGGGCGTTCTTATTCTTTGTTTGATTATATAATATAATCAGTTTTTAACTGTTGTTTGTGATATTTTTGGTAACCCATCCTCCTTTGGGATGGTTGTTTATTTTCAGCTTCAATTTCAAGGAACAGTTTGCATCGATAGCATATGTGATACTCGACATGAACTCATCGAATGCTTTTTCAACATCTGGGCCTATTCCATACATTTTCTCAAATCCAATCAATGCCAAGTGTTGGTTTGCTTTGTCTAAATAAAAGTCAGACGTGATTCTTTCGTTTTCAGTGTTTGAAAATCCATTATTTATAGGAGGTTTTTGGTCTAGTGTCATAGTTGATAAAATTGCTTGATGGTCTCCAATGTTTGGTTGGACTACATAACCATGATTACTGTCGTTATTCCTATTTGTTGCAATAGAATCGATTTTTGTTCTTTACCTTCTCAACTTCAATTTCGGAATCGGTGAGTTATATTTCGGAAAAAGTAATTTCGATTTCAGAATTGGTTAGTTCGATTTCAGAAATGGTAAACTCAATTTCAGAATCGGTGAGATGAATTTCAGAAAAAGTCCATTCAATTGCAGAAATGGTAAGTTGTATTTCAGAATTATTATTGGTAGGCTCAATTTCAGAAGATGAAATCCTTTTATATGCTTGAAATGTTTTTAATTGCAAAAGAGAAGATTGTTTACAGTGGATGAACGGTGTTTGAGAGCCCTATGTTGAATCAGATTCAACATATATGGGGTGCCTTCAAGTCAGATGTGAAGAGCTTCTTGCAAGAGCATCGCCAAAGGGCAATAGCTGGGGATCCGAACAGCTTGCTCAACCAGATAGAATTCAGACTGCGATGTCTTGAGGAATGTGCAGATCATTCAATGAAAATGATAGCACCTCAAATGTGTTTGCATTCTCACAATCATGTGCAACGCTATTATCTTATAGCGATTCGGATGGAAGGCATCTTTGCATTGAATTGAGATTATAATTATGTTATTGAATTGTTTTTGACAAGTTGAATATTGTAAATATGGTTTGTTGATCTCACATACAATTGGAAACATTTCGAACAAAGGATTTTTTTCCTGAAATTGAACCTACCAATTCTGAAATACAACTTACCATTTCTGAAATTGAATTGACTTTTTCTGAAATTCATCTCACCGATTCTGAAATCGAGTTTACCATTTCTGAAATCGAACTAACCAATTCTGAAATCGAGATTACTTTTTCCGAAATTGAAGTTGAAAAGGTATAGAAGTTTTGTTTCTGGAGGGCGCTATCCTTTTAGGTTCATTTGGAATGCAGTCTCTCAGGTCGAAACATGTGAAAAATTCTTGAAGCAGTCTGTTTTCGAAGGTGTTCGTTAAAAAATCAACATTTATATCTCCACATAGTTTCGAATGTACGAGAAAGTTGTATAAGTAATTCATACCTCTTTTTTGAAAATACATTGAAATCACTGTTGCGATATCTATACAAATTACCTGTCGCACAATTTTGTATTCCTGATTCAATTTTAACGGCATAACACTCAAAATTTTTCTCCTGGGCAAGGTTGTAACAGTCGAGGGTGGAAATGATTCCATTAGGCTTGGTTTTCGCATAAATTATGGTACTACTATGTTACATTTTGCTTCTGCAGAAGCTCGTAATTCATGTATACTCAGGGATGCTCATCAGTAGGATTTGTTCTTGTGAGCACCAATGTTCTTGCACACATATTTTATGATTTCGAGTTCCTCTTCTTTGAGAAGATTTATAAGTTGATGATTCTGTTTGTAAGGCACTGGACGTTAACAGTTGATATTTTCAAAGTTTCATTCTCTTGGGCTATGTGCTGATATTGGGAGGTTGCTTTCCCCTGAAAAAATTTGCTCTTCTAATATTGAATCGCTGAATAGCTGTTCCTTTGGGTCACGTCACCGGATCGTAGACTTTGTCAATATCCTCTTATGGAGAGGATACTTTGAATGATGTATATCTATCAGTTTTGTTTCACTCTGTACAGTGGAAGTCGACTTCAGGTGCCGTTTCTGTTAACAATTTCTTGAGTTCTGGGGCGGTAATGTCTGGATGTATTCTGCTTACCTTGCCTTGGAATTGTTTTAATTTGTGTAGCCCTGGTAATATTCCCAATAATTATGTTGTATTGTTCATTTGTTTTTACAGAGGTCATTGCTCTCTAAACAGCTTTGCTCACTTTGGCCCTGCTACAGTATCCATTTTTTGCGGAATTAGTCACGAATGATTTTTCTTGGACAGGTATTACTTTTTTATGGTTGGTGGGTTCACCTTTTTGCTCGTTTGATTTGGATTGTTTGCTGATAACACTTTTTCAGGAGTTTTCGATTTCTGCAGGCCACTTGTAGAGGATTCGCCATGTTTAATTTTCTCGAAATTGCATGTAAGAAGCAATATCAGATACTCTTGTTCTGTCGTTCGTCTTTCGAGATGGCATTAGAGTTTCCGTAACGAGTCCAACTCGTCTTGAAGAAGCTTCACTTGCATTGTCAAATTCTTGTGCACATCATTTTCACATTTCTTTGAGGTTATGTTTTCGTCGTCGTCGTAAACAACATCACGTTCACCCTCGTTTTCTATAAATCTACTCAACGTTTCACTATTCACTGTGTCTGGTAACTTTTGAGTTAGTATAATCTCGATTAACTCGCTTTTCTTGAGCTTATTGAGCTCAGTTGTTGATACCGATACGTCGCCGACCGCCATCGCTACACATTACGACAACATTTAATTTTTATAGTACTTCAATTATCTTCCTGTAGTTCGTTCTTCTGAAATTTTTGTAGTCTTATTAACCTCCAACGAGTAACTGAGATATTGGGCTAGCCAACTGTTACAACCGAATAAAAATCAGTTAGGGAGTCCCTGATCAATTCGATCCTATTGATCGAATAAATGAAGGTATGCTATCCCACGTTTGCTTTTGATAACGGTGCGACAATATCTGGTTCGATATTGTGAACTGATTTGTTGAACAATTGTAAAGAATACTGTCTGTAGGTTAATCGAGGAGGTGGTATATTCATTTTACTCGATTCTTTGGGATTTTCTCTCCTCGTTTCTATAAAATAAAAATATTCGTATTATCTCAATATGTCACTGCGTTTAACAAATTTTTCTATCAGGGTGTCTGAAACAAAAATACAGTAGCTTGTCAGTACCAATTTGTTTGAAAAAACGTTTGAAGGAAAGAAATATAGATATATTGAAAAAATATCGAATTTTTGCTATGAGCAGCAAAACTTTCGAAGAAGAATATTTTGCATTCATATGTTGAGAACGAGAGCAGATTCGGTCCCGAAACGTCCAAAGATGAGTAAAAATTCTATATCTCTTCAATATATCTATATTTCTTTCCTTCGAACATTTTTTCGAACAAATTGTCACTGACAAGCTACTGGATTTCTCTTTTAGACTCCCTGATTCAAAAATTTGTTAAACGCAGTGACATTGTGAGGAAAATCGTCTGATCTGTCCCACTGCGAATATATTTAAATAATACGAATATTCTTATTTTATAGAAACGAGGAGAGAAAATCCCAAAGAATCGAGTAAAATGAATTGTAAAGTAGTAAATAAATTGGAGGAGAAAACCTCATTCCAGATAGTTTATACTGATACGAAGAAAGTAATAGCATAACTCCCTGAAAATTTGATATCAGTGATATCTAATAGATAAGTCATGAGAAATATTTTGATTCAGGTCATTGGTGCTGAATATGACTTCTGAGATATTCACAAATATGTATGTGTTCATTGTTTATTCACGAAGTGCCCAATCAAAAATCTACTGCTCCTGACAATTATATTCATTATTTTCCTGGTTTTCCTCTTGATGAGTTAGGATATTTTTCAGAAGAATAACATGTCCTGCGGGAATTGTCATGCTACCTACTTGGGTCCACCATTACCGGCTGCCTGTCCTGGTGCGAGCTACCTCATGTTTATGTCCTTAGTGGACGTTGTTATCAGAAACATGTGCGACGTTGCAGAGACATGCGAGAGAGTGACACCAAAGACGAAGCCAGAAGATGAGTATGATTTTATTGTAATAGGAACCGGACCAGGAGGATCTGCAACTGCAGGCAGGTTGGCTGATCTAAAGAAATGGAAGGTATTCATATTGAATCATTAAAAATATGTTATGCGATTTTCGGAAACTAGGCTACCCGTTATTTCAGGTCTGGAATCTGAAGTTCTGAGATTCTCTGTTATTTTCCTGCTTCGAATGAACATGGTTCCATTCATGATATACAATAATATGCTATTCTCTGACTGATTGGCCAAAATTGAAATGAATACTCATGATATTATTTGATCTCCTAGTTTTCGATAGGAATCCAGAAGTCACAATTTTATTCGAGGTCATGACATGCTCGGATGTGAATTAGATTCTTAGCTTGATATCTGAAATAAACATCGAATTCCTCAGATTTTATTGTGTTGTTCATTATATGAATCTCCATCCACCCTTGGACTCAGTTATATCTCTTAGAATAACTCATGAGCTAACAAAGGAATTTCGTGCTGTAATTACTAAGTTGAGCTATCAAACAATATTATCACGAATGTTCAATCGAATGAATTTCTCATCAATTTATCGATGATTGATGCCATTCCGAATGTGGTTGTCACATGGGTGTTAGTTCATCATTAGTTCATTGTTGATTGCTACATCATCTAATTTCAACGATTCCCAATGTTCTCAGAAAGATGAAGAATTTTTGTTTCATGAACGCGAAGGCTATACAAATAATTTATTCAGATGGAAAATTCGGAAATGAGCAAACGTAGGCCTTCATGACGTATCGAATCAGATTAAATAGAGCTCATTTTTTTTGTTATGTTCAATAAAGAGATTGCGAAGACAATTCCGCATTATTTGCAGAATATTTCAAATTCATATACATGTTGAGTCCATAGTGTGGGGAAGTGGGAGAACGGCTTAGCTGATCGAGATAGAAGAACAAAAACTCTTGTGATGGTCTAGCCTCATGAGCAGCACATTTCCAGAGTATTTTGTGTTTTACACAGTAACTCAAAAATGCGTGTTGTATCAAAGTTATACTTTTTCCTATAAAACATTCTGTATTTCGTTGCATTTTTGGTTCCTTCGTCGTGAAAACATTCCATCAATGAAACTCAGGACAAGATGGGCAAATATTTGATATTGGAGCTTGCAAAAAGGTCCCATTAGGGACTTGTTGCTGACTTGCAGACGTTCTCCACAGGTACCAGTACCAGTAGTTCTTATAATGGTAATGAGTGAGTAATGACACCTCTCGACCTCCCAACTCTTAGAAACTTGGGGAAAATTGCAGGCAGAGCATTGCAGTTAAATGAACTACCGAAATGTAAATTACAATGACAATGATCTGATTCTCAAATTATCAAAATTGTCGAAGGCGATATATTTGAATCAATCAGAACAAATTCAGTGTAGAAATATTATCATATCTCACATTCACACACTACCTCTTGATATATGATTTCTCCATGGCTATTCGAATTGTTTTGATTATTTTTTCAAGATATTAGTCCTGGAAGCTGGGCCTGATGTACCACCACCAATGAACATTCCTGTATTGACGTCACCATACGATACAGGAACTGGTGTAGAATGGGGTATCTCCTCTCCATTCAACAAAACTAGTCCTCTGGATTGGGGATATAAAACCGAACCAGAATCAGTAGCATATCAAGGTAAATATTCATTCTCTACGAATTCACACAATGAAAATTTTTTCAATGATATTTAGTATCGAGCCCATATCAGCAAGAAGTAGTAAGCGATTATTGAAAGAAAGAAGAAGGGCTCGTCATCTTCATAATATTTAATCGAGCATTTGACAATAAAAACCTCGTCTTGGTTTCATGGAAGTCACAAAGACAATAGCAATAAAACAATTAGTTTTTTCGACTGTCAGGAAGAGCTGGACAGCTGTTAGTCTGATCAGGCCTCATCAGTTACCCCTGGTCTGCTGACATCTAAAATAACTCAATGAGTATCGCCATTCAGTGGCTGGCAGGTCGAAAAAGTTATGTTCGTGTTGTGGATGTAACAGGTTCAACACTTAACACTTAACACGTGAAGTATCGCGGATTTAACTAATCGTCACCATTTCCATTCAACATCGTTAGATGTGAAAATTACCGGCAAAAATGACATACACGGTGATGCGGTATGAAACAAGGTGAAACGAGCTGTCGTTGCTCATCCTTGACTCGGAGGCACTTGCGCAGGCGATTAAGGATCATCGTGCATATATTAGCGCGAAATTGGAATAATCAAAATACAATAATATTTTCCCTATAAATACATATAAAAAAAATGAACTCCCTAGTTCTCATAGAACAAAATATATGCTCAAAAAAAAAAAACTAAAAATGATATGCTCAAACTAGCGAACTTCGAACATCCTACCCTTGTTAGATAAGAATGTAACAAAAAAAAACTATACGTCCGGTAATGGACACAATTTGACAAGCGGTCTCGTATAAACACCCTGGTTGTTTCGTATCTTGGCAACGCGAGCAACACCATCGTTCTCCTTATGGAATCCTAATATTCTAGCTAGCTTTCAAGTTGAGGGAGGCACATTGTCTTGCTTAACTAAAACAAGCGTTCCCTCTTTAAGGGGGGTTTCCGGTAAAGTCCATTCAGCCCGCTGTTGCAAGGTATGTAAATATTCATTATGCCAACGTGACCAAAAATCGGCATGAAGTCTTGGTTAAAGTTGATAACGATCGAGTCTCTTCAATTTCAGATGGGACAAGTCTGAATCTGGCAAAACTGTGAGCGGCTCAAGGAAGATGAAATGTCCAGGGGTGAGGGCAAATAGATCGTTGGGATCTGAAGACATTGCACATAGCGGACGGGAGTTTAATAGGGCTTCAACTTGTATCAGTACCGTTGAGCTTTTTATAGCTCAAAATCTGCTCACCTATAACCCTGACCAAGTGTGATTTAACCGATTCAATTCCGGCTTCAGCTAGACCGGCGAAATGAGAGCCATAAGGAGGCGAAAACGACCATTCGATTCATTCGGAAGCAGCGGCGTGTTCAAATAATTTGAAAAGATATTTATTTGCAGCAGTAAAATTTGTCCCATTGTCTGAGACAATATGGGAGATTCGGCCCCTCCAACCAATGAAGCGGCGCAGCGCACATAAGAAATTTTCTGATGTCAAATCACTCACAAGTTCGATGTGGATTGCCTTAGTAGCGAAACACATAAAAATGCGAATGTAGGCCTTCTGCGTCTCAGCACCCCTATGTCCACCCAAAGTTATAATAAATGGTCCTCCGAAATCGATCCCTACAATAGACAAGGTCTTAGCTTGTGATATGCGTATGGAAGGTAAATCGGCCATTGGCGGTTGAAGCGGTGTAGGCTTCAAGTGTCAGCACTCAAGACATTTAGATAAAATACTCCGAATTGCACGACGAGCAGACAGTATCCAAAAGTTATGTGTAATCAAAAATTGTGATGTTTGCAATCCTGGGTGACAATATTTTTGGTGAGTGTCAGAAATTATGAGGTCACTTAGACGTGATTGTGTGATATAGGGTGTTTCATGTCATAATTCAACAATGAATTTTTCAGTCTTCCTCCGACCCTCAACACATTATTTCCATCAAGAAATACATTGAATTTCCTGAAATTTTTCAGATGGCAGCTGTTTATTTGACAAGCTCATTATTTCATTCGCGAAAAATGGAAACTGTATGCGTTTTACATGAAATAAAATAAGGCGGTTTGTGAATCTTCTGCAGAAAAATGATAGCAAGTCGTTCAAAAAATTGCTATCTTTGAAAGAAGAAATCGCAATCTTTCTTTCTTCAGCTTGAAGAACTTTGTCGGGCCGTCGTTTAGAAAGTTGCAGGCGTGGCCAATGATCGTAGGGTAAATGTGAGAAAGAAGGTCCTACCCACCACTCGGGTGAGTTGATGATGTCTTTCGGAAACACACCACGTGATACGCAATCGGTAGCATTTTTTTCCGATGGCACATAGCGCCACGAAGCGTTAGGTATGTGTTCCTGTAACACCGAAATTCGGTTACCTACAAACGGCTTCCATTTATGAGCAGATGACTTCACCCACCATAGCACAGCCTGACTATTAGTAAATGCAAAAACATTTTGAAAAGCTATATTATCAGAATAAACGTCAATAACGAATTTCATCAACTTAGATAAGAGCAAAGCTCCGCAAAGTTCAATGCGCGGAACCGATATGTGTTTTAACGGTGTCACCTTTGATTTGGCAGTAATTGATAATGAGGTAACGCGGTTATCTCCAACTTCGCGGATATAAACGCAAGCGGCATAGGCTTTCAAAGGACCATCGCAAAATCCACACAAATCTATTGAATCAGCATTATCCGAAAAAACATATCGCAGAATTTCGAGAGTTGATAGAACAGAGAGTTGATTTCTGTAGAGTTGCCATCAAGACAAAATTTTGTTTGGTGGAACTTCATCCCAACTCAATTTAAATTTCCATAAATCTTGGATTAAAATCTCCGCAATGAGGGTAACGGGCGTAAGAAAGCCAAGAGGGTCGTAACCGCGGGCCAGCTCAGACAGTATATTTCGTTTAGTGCACGGCTCATTATTCGAGCAAACTGAATATGAAAATGTATCGGATGCAGGATTCCACTTCAAACCTAGAATTTTAATAGTTTCTGTGGAGTCCAGATCAAGTGCAAGAGACTTTTATTTAATGGAGTTACTTGGTAAATGGCAAAGCACCTCACGTTTGTTACTTTTACCCATTTACGTAAATCGAACGCCCCCTTTTGTAATATGAAAATTAATTCATTTTGTAATAGGAGAGCACGGTCCACGGTAGGACATGAAACAACTACGTCATCAATGTACGTGCAATTCAATAGCGCATGTGATGCTGATGGGAAGTTAGCTTCCCCATCTGTCACTAGCTGTATCAGAGTTCTCAAAGCGAAAAAAGGTGCGCAGTTGACTCCAAAAGTAACAGTACTTAGAGTATATTCCTGTATCGGAGAATCCGGAGAAAATCGTCAAACTATTTTCTGGAAACGTTGATGAGCTGGATTAACCCTTAACCCGAAGTATGTGCCTGGCAGACACCTACTCTCCCAACTTTTGCAATTGTGATGATACTAATTTATTTAGCCATCCCACCTTCTAGGTATCCTCATCACGTGATCTTAGGCGACAGATCGCGTCGAATGCATTCGCTTACAATTTGACGTTCAGTGAATACAGGTCAATCATTATTGTGAAAAGATACGGTGTCTATTAGACACATACTTCTAAAAACGGTTGAAAAAGGCGAAAATGTAGCCTTTGCCCCTACACAAAACATCTAAATACGAGCTATAAATGTATAAAGTGTGAAAAACCAATTTGTTTGGAATGCTCTAGGAATTCATATATGTGTATCGTGTTGTCAAGAATTATAAATCTTACACCAAATTCCATATTACTATACATATAGACATTTTGACTTATTTGAGTATTTCATTTCATTCTTCAAATATGTTTCATTTTGTTTCAACTGTGACAATCTGACAAATATCAATAAATGATCCTACAACAATAACCAAATTTTATTCCTTCAAATTTAGCGCGATTTCCGTGTATTTGAATTGCGGGTCTGTGAGACACATACTTCCAAGAAAAGACTAAAAGTGGATACTTCAGGTTGAGGGTTAATCAAAATTTGACGATACATAGCTCGAATATCTGCAGTCATTGCGACCGGAAATAGGCGAGAGTTCAGTAGAATAAAAACAATATCTAATTGCAATTTCGGACCGATGAATAAAGAGTCATTTAATGAACGATTATTTGAATCTTTGGAAGAAGCATTAAATACCGCCCGAAGCTGAGTCGTTGAAGCTTCCGGTTTTACTACACAATGATGCGACAAAAAATAATCCTCCAATTCACTCGAACCTGAAGATCGAATCATATGGCCATTATCTAAATAATCCGTTATAAACTTAAACAATAATCACTGCGTAAGGCGGGATTATTTATCAATCGTTTTTCCAAATCATAAAATCGACGTATTGCGGTTAATTTTGAATTTTCAAAATTTGGAATTTTTTCACGGAATGGAAGCGATACACCAGAATCAGTACGGTTAATTGTCTTCTCAAAAATATTCTCACCATCATCCGATGAAATAAGTTTTCTTTCTGGAATTTGCTCTAGTGCCCAAAATTGACGTAATGTATCATCGAGAGAATCGTTTTGACTTATAGTAAGGAACAACTGACGACTACAGAACTTTCATCTGTAACGCTCACATCCCCCATGAGAATGTAGCCAAGTTGAGTATTAATCGCGGTGGGCAAATTAGCATTTTTAGAAACCACTCTTTCCGATAATAGCACTTTTTCGAAAAAAATGCCCCTAGTAAAAGATCGATAGAACCTGTTTTATTGAAGTCAGGATCTGCGAGATTTAAATTGAAAACATGTTTCTATGTTCTTATATCAAAAGTACAGCTTGGCAGATCAGCGCATATATTATCTAAAATGATTCCTTAAAAATTATATATAGGAGGATTTTTATGAAGAGGTTCGATAGTGCAAGTCACTTTCCCTGATTTGTATTAGTTATTCATTCCACCTTATCCATTTATATTGATTGCTGTTTTTCGAATAGGTGAATTCAAACGTTGCACGCATTTTCTGCGAATATAGCTA